GCAATCTTTTTATCTCCCTAATGGATTCCCTCTCTTATTCTCCAAAGAAACTATTCCAAACCTCCTCTTCTCTCCATAAGCTACGCACTTTCCCTTTCATCTGAGGACCTGACCTCTTACTTTACTGAGAAAACTGAGGCCATTCACTTCCTCCTCTCCCTTCATCTCCAAACCCCTTCATACCATCTCCCACTCAATTCTTCTTTCCTTCCATTTCTAATAATGAGATACCCCTTCTCCTTGCCAAGACCTAGACATGTGCTCTCGATCCTAATTGCACCAATCTTCTCTGGCAGACTGAACCTTCAATCACTCCTCCCCTCTAATCTTCAACTATCTTTTCTATTGTCTTTAAGTATGCCCAAGACTCCCTCATCCTCAAAAAATATGTATCACTAGCTTGCTTCCCCACAACTTTCCCTCAAGCTATAGTCTTTTATCTTGCCTCCCTTTCTTAGCCAAACAGCTAGAAGATATCTATACCCATTGCCTCCACTCACTCCTCAATTCTTTGTGATATATTCCTTTTCCCATTACATCAACCAACTGAAAACTGCTCTCTTCAAAGTTATCAATGGTCTCTATCTAATGGTCATTTCTCAACCATCATTTATCTTGACCTATCTACCACACTGATATAACTGACCACTTTTTACTCCTGGATATTTTTTCTTCTCCAAGTTTTCATGACACTACTCTCTCAAGGTTTACATTCTACAGGCCTGACAGCTGCATTTCAGTCTCCTTTACTGTTTCATCATCCATATCATGCCCTATAATTGGAAGTGTTCCCTAAGGTTCTATCCTAAATAACCACCCCCACTGCCAAATCTTATTTCTTTCTCACTTGGTGATCCTTTCAGCTCCCATAGGTTCAATTATCATCTCTATACACATAAATATACATTCCAGCCTCAGTCTCTCCCCTGAACTTTAGGCCCACATTACCAAATTACCTATGGGATATTTCAAACTAGATGGCCCAGGGATATATCAAACTCAATATAACCAAAATTGATTTATCTTTTCTCCCAAACTTCCCTATTCCTATCAAAGATACCATAACTTTTCTAATATCTCTTGTTTATATTTTGACATAATCCTCAACTCCTTACTATCTTCCACATAATCAATCATTTGTTAAATCCTCTGTTCCTATCTCAACATCTTTCTCATCTGACTCTTTTTCTGTCTATTCATTTTCATTCAGGCTCTCATCACTTCTCATCTAGACTATTACAATGACCTCCTGTTTGTTCTCCCTGCTAAGTCTCTTCCCAGACAACTGCCAAAACAATTTTCCTTGAGCCCATAGTCTGTATCTGACCAGTTCACTCCTCTACTTAAAAAATTCCAGTTGCCCCATATTATACCTAAGATAAAATATAATCTTCTTAGCTTTAAAAGTCCTTCCCCCAAACTATCTTTCCAACCTCATTATGTACTCTCCCCTTTACAAAATCTGTAATACAGCACTTTTTGTTCCTCACACACAAAACTTTATCTCTCATCTTCATTACCAGCCATTCCTTATGCCTGGAATAAACTCTCTCCACATATCCTTCTCATAGGAAGGATTCTATTCCCCTCAGAGATGGCTCAATACTTCTATACAAAGTCATTTCTGAACCCATGAACTGCACCTCCCCATCTTGTATTATTAATATGCCAACATGCTGTCTCCTTCAACAGAATGTAAACTTCTTAAAGGTAGGGACTGATTCATTCTTTGTATTTATATCTTTCACACCCAGGACAGTATATAGTAGTAGGTCCTTAGACAGTAAATGCTGTACAAAATAATATAGGAAAAGTACTTTTAAAACACTATATAAATGTCAGCTTTTAGTATTACTATTTTGCTACATAATTCCAATTGTCTTAATTTTTCCCATTTAAATTAGATTCTGGTTTATAGATAACCCCAAGTTCTGGCAAAGTCAGAATGTCATAGATATATGACATTCAGTCAAGTGTTTCAGTCCCCTTCTCCCACACAACTACCAAACTTGATTTTTATCTGTTAAGGATGCCCAAACTTTTTGTCTTCTTCTTCCTAGGTTGCGATAAATTACACAAACTCACTTGGAAACCATATTATGGATGTGTTTGCACACAGACCTGAGTTAACGGTATTAGAAAGCCCAAAGTAAGTGTGGATGAAATGGCAGTGGAGCAGAATAGAAGGTGAAATGAAAGCCCTTGCGAAAAAAATCCCTTTGGTAGTTTCTGAAAAGTTTTCTATAAGCAGCTTACCTATATATGGAATGATTTTATAGACCAATCTAGAATTGATGGAGTTTGCTGTATCATGGACAAACAATTTCAAACAAAACAGGTGGCCCTAAGTTGCTGATTTGGTCTGCAGTATGCAGTTCCTACTGAACCTGCTTTTTTGTCTCCTATTGTCCTAATTGTGAAATGTTAAGTTCCCTGCAGCAGATGCGTCCTCCAATAAAGAGAGTTGTTTTTTTTTCTGGTTGGGCAATGGGGGTTAAGTGACTTGCCCAGAGTCACACAGCTAGTTAAGTGTTATGTGTCTGAGGCCGCATTTGAACTCAGGTCCTCCTGAATCCAGGGCCGGTGCTCTATCCACTGCGCCACCTAGCCGCCCCCAATAAAGACAGTTCTAAGAAATAATTTCCCATGAGACTGTACCTTGGGCTTTGAGAATATTTTTGCCATGCTTTCTCTGCCCTTGTCTTGGTCAAACACCATGACAGCTACAAAAGTGGATCTGATTCAGGTCAGATATCTCCAAATAACATGTGCCATCCAGGAGAGCTTTGGTCAGGGCTCCCAACAGATATCTGGGTTGTCTGCTAGTGTAGAGATGTCAATATTATTCTGTCCTCTTTAAATATATTCAAAGTCTTCCACAGCTGATAGTACTCTGCGGTCTTGTATGCTATCCAGAGCGCAAAACTATGGTTACATATAATATGTGAATAACACAAATTTACATAGGTTTGGGGGAAGCAATATTAGATATAGAGTGTACAGAACTGTGCTGGATAGCATAAGTCTCAAACAGTCTTCGGGCCACGAGGGTGATAAAAAGGAAGGGAGAAAAAAAGTTCTCCCCCAAAATTAGAAGAACAAATCAGTTAACAAGTATTTATTACATGCCTATTATGTATCATGCATATCATTATTTTTATAAGATAATGCCCTATTTTATTAATATAAGCTTATCTATATATATTATATATAATACACATATTATATAATAATATAATATTTTTAATATTATTTATGCTTGCACAGACCAGGTGCTCAATCAGTTAGCAGCCTGATTTATTGTTGACTTAGAAAGCTACAGACCCTGTGAAATATCTGGGAAATCCTCACAGATCAGAAATTCTGCGTCAAAATCACCACACTAAATTTAAAGAAATACCATTTTTAAACTAAATCAAAATGATTAAAAAAAACTTGAGACTTCATGTATGTGAGTTCTATGCATCAATCTTACAAGACTTTAAACTTCATATTAAATAGAGCAAAACATTTAATTTTCAACTTATGGTAGTAAGTTTACTCTTTAGGCAAAGTCAGAAAGCAAAAAAGGAAAATCTATTGAAGCATCTACATTTTAAGAAAGTTTGTTTTTAAGACAAAATTAGAAAAGCAAAAGAGCCAATCATTCACATATCAAAATTCTAAGTCATCTATTTCCTTCATTCTCCAATTTCTTCTAATAGGTAAACTAATTCCAAAGGAAAAAGTTTAATTTACCTATCTACAGAATTAATTTAATTTTAAAATTCCATTTTGCTCTAAGTTCATTCATTATAAGCACTCCCAGAAGTCTACCTCAAAAACTTCTGGATTTAGAAACAAAAAGGTTTTGTTCTTCTCAAGACCTTGTTACTTAAAAACCACATGCCCCAATACTGAGTTTTCAAATTAATCCCCAACTCACCAATTTACTTCAGAATTGTTCTTTTCTCCTTCAGTTAAATGAATTTCAGCTAAAATACCAGGCTCTACAGTGTCCTACAAGTTTCAGCACCACTTAAAGCTATTAAAATTAAAACTATTAAAGCTCCAAACCACACTAAGACTTTTAGGACACCCTGTATTTTAAGCCATATAAATACTAAGTCATATAAAAAACTAGGATAACTATGTGCTTAAAGAAGAGGTTATTATTTTTCAAAAAAATAAAAATGATAACAATAATAATAACATAAATAAAACTAAAATTACGCTGTTATTCTTTTCCAGCATGGCACTGTGCCAGTATTCAGGAAAGATCAGTGTCTACATATTAAAGAAATACAACCAGCTTTCTAATATAATTTTACAAAATATTTTCCTACACCCCCATTTGCCCAATTCTTCCCTACTTTCCAAGATTGGGTTATAAACATACCCTTATTCTATATTTACTTCACTAAGTTCCCACTATGAACAAGGTTCTAGTTCTATCTCTGCCAGATAAGTAGATATGGACAAATTATCTGATCCACTGAGATGAACTATTTCTTAGCCATAAAATGAAGGGGGTTAGACTAGTGATCTCTAAAGTCTCTTATGGCTTTAAAATGCTGTGTTTCTCTATGATCCCACCATAGGTTAGTCAAATCCACCTTCTACCCAAATTCTTGGGCACTCATAAATATCATACCACATGGTCATATGCCAACAATCTACAAGGAATCAGGTCAAAATCAAAGAAACCTGGGCAGCAAACTTAAAGGTTATATTTGTATTATATCTGCATTGAAAATATATATTTTAAAGGCAAATAATTTTCTATTATCTTAATAGTCTAGAAAGCACAGAAAAGGATGGAGGTTAACAACAGCAGGATCCTAGGATTTATAGCTAGAAGTGATCTTGGATTTAATCTTTGTAAACTTCCTAAGGTTTCACAAGTATATCAAAAAAGGATGAGCCCAACAAAGGATTTTACAAGCCAGTAAAAATTCTACAGACAAGTATTTTATCAACTAGTATCAGGGCTTGAAGAAATCCTACTAATGCTTACTTACATTGTTCTTTATTTCTCCTTGTTTCAGTGAATGGGAAGGATTCAACCAACAAAGTTCATGACAACAAGGTGCAGGATGGTGCTAGCAAAGAGGAAGTCAGCAAAAGCTCGTTCTGGAGAGATGCCCTGGAAATCTCCCTTGTTCTGTGGGTTGATCTGTATCCTCAAACAGACTGCAAATGAGACAAAATGAGACATTACTGTCAAAATACAGGAAGACAATTGGACTAAATAGAGTTAGAAGTGCATAAAAACAGTAGTGTAGAACTCTCACATTTTCTAATGTAAGTTTCTAACAACTGAAAGATAGGGCAAAGAAAACGGAACGAGAAAAACAATTTATATCAAACCAACACAGCTAAATATTAGATGAGAAACAGTAAAAAATTGAAGCAAGTTTCTCTGATAAAGGTATTATTTCCAAGATCTATAAGGAATTAAATCTAATATATAAGAATAAGAGCTATTCTCCCATTGATAAATGGTCAAAGTATATCGCCATTTTCACAAAAAGAAATCCAAGCTATCAACAACCATGTGAAAAATGATCCAAATCACTCATATCAGAGAAACGCAAATTAAAACAATTCTTCAGGTTCTACCTCACACCCATTAGTCTGTCAGAGACAAAAAGAAAATGACAACTGTTGGAAGGGCTTAAGGGGAAACAGGCACATTAATGAATGGTTGGTATAGCCATAAAATGGTCCAGTCATTCTGAAAAACAATATGGAACCATGCCCAAAGTCACTAAACTATGCATACCCAGGGATACCACTACTAGGCCTATGCCCTAAAGAGACCAAAGAAAGAGGAAAAAGCACCTTTACATACAAAAATATTTATAGCAGCTTTTCATAGCACAACAAACTGAAAACTAAGGGAGTAGTAATCAATTGGAGAATGGCTGGACAAATTATGGTATGTGAAAGTAATGGAATATTATTATAACATAAGAAACGATGAAACGGATGGTTTCAAACAGACCTGGAAAATTTGCATGGACTGATAAAGAATGAAGTGAGCAGAGGCAGAAGAATAACTTATACAAGAACAACAATGATGTAGGGGGAAAAAAACTTTGAAAGATTTAAGAACTCTGATCAATGAAATGACCAACAACAATTTCGGAGGACCAATGATGAAGCAAGCTACCCAACCTCTTGACAGAGAAGTGATGTACTTAGGCTGAAAGCCTGAGACATCTATTTGTCAACATAACCAAGGAAGCAATTGACTATACAAATTTGCTGTAAGGTTTTTGTTTTAAAACAGAAGCAAGGGAAAGAGGTGGGAGAGAAAATAAGACTTTTGTTCCTTAAAAAAATAAATGTAATTAAAATTTTAACTAAAAATTTAATTTAAAAAAAATTTAGAGGCACTGGTACAGTTGGAAAACACCTGACTAGAAATCGTTAAGACCTGAATTCTAGTCCTGTCTCTTCCATCACACTATTTGTGTAGTGTTGGCTAAGTTGCTTTACCCTCTCTGGGCTTCAGTTATCTCATTTAAAAAAGTCAAGAGTTTGAACTAAATCTCAAAAGGTGTTTTCCAGCTCTGTAAATCAAGAGTTCAAAAAGTCTTTGTGAGAACCTGGATTCAAATCCCAGTTTTGCTAACTATATGACTGAGCAAGTCATAACCTCTCTGGACCTGTTTCCTAAACTGTAAAATGAAGAGACTAGAATGAACAACTCCTAAAGTCCCTACTAGCTCTAAATCTATAATGCTAAAAATATCAGTGTTCACGAAGCTAAGTCTATGCCAGTCTAGCCTCCCAAGTCCCTCTCATAAAAACCAACCAATCACTTTTTAAGTGGCTGCTTTGTGCCAGGAACCTGGGGGCACAAAATCAAAATGGAAACTGTCCCTCTATCCTCAAGAAAGTACATATATAAACATATACAAATAAATCGAGGTAAGGTAATTTCTTGGGAGAGGCATTTAAAATCCAAAAAGATCAGAAAAGACCTCACATAAGAGGCATTACTGAATCTGGGCTTGGAATGAAAGCAGGCATTCTAAGGAACAAAGGTAAGGAGGCACAGCATTCCATTCTTAGGAAATAGCTTGTGAATGAGATGGAATTTCATGTATGAGGAACAGAAAAAGGTCAATATGACTGAACTGAAGAGTGAAAGAAAAGGATATGGTCAATATGCCCTGGAAAGCCATTGGTTGAAGACGCAGTTTGCGGACTTTTAAATTCCTGACAGAGCACCCCTGATGTGGAAGGACACAACTTCTAGGAAGAAGGGGCTGAAGCCACCGGAGAACAAAGCAGGATCAAGCATGCAGCTCTTCCTGCAAAGGTTTGGAACTAATCTTGAGGCTCTTTGTTCTCACCAAGTCAAAGGGACTCTAGATGAGGGATAAGGTATAAATTTTCAGAAATGGCCAAAACACTGGTTTCTTTTTGCTTAACTGCTCCTACTTATATATGTGAAAAAGGACTTCTAAGAGGATTGGGGCAGAGGAGGAAGGGGAAAGGAGGCATTGGGAAGTGAAAATGAAGGAAAAAACTACAGTTCAACAGACAGTGTAGCCTAATGGATAGACAGCTAGATTTGGTGTCAGAAAGACCTTATTTGAAGTCTCACCTCTAAGACTAGCAGTATAACTGTGGGAAAGCCATTTAACTTCTATGTGTCTCACATCACATCTCTGACACTAGATATGTGACCATGAACAAGTCACTTAACCTCGACATGTCTCAGGCAGTTACCTTCCTTGGGACTATGATCCTACGATCTAAGTCTCTCACAAACACACACACATACAACAAAAACATTATTAACACTTCTGCAGGCATGTCAAAGATGACATCAAATTTGACAACCTTTGATTAAGTGCTATCTATGTACAAGGGACTACTCTACGCTATTACAAGGAAATGTTATTTTGTCAGTTTGTGGCCTCTACCATCATCGTCACAACTCCTTTGGCCATTCTACTGAGCCCCTCCAAATTCTCCTGGGCTGTTTCTTGGCCATTAGACACAGTGGCTTACTGGAATGGAGATAAAAGACTAAGCAAGTCCCTTCCTTCAGTAAACAAAATGGAAAGAATGACCACAAAACAATCAAAAGTAAATGTTACAAAATTGCAAAGAACAAGCAAGGTCCCAAACAAGAGATAAGACACATTCCCTATGCCCTGGCAGAGGCAGAAGATTCCAGGGTAGGGTACATTGCATATATTTTCAGACTTTTGATAGACTGTTCAGTTTTGCTGTTTCTCCTCTTCCCCCTTTATAAAAAATATCCTTTGTTAAATGAGATGGCTCTCTAGAACAGAAGGAAGAGAGATACTGGGAGAAATACAAGCTATGTAAAAACAAATATCAAAAAAAATGTATTTAAAAAAAAAGTCACCTCCCTCAAGGGTCTTACAATCTAGCAACGTCATATACACAAATAACTATAATACGAGGTAAAATACAATAAGCTGCAAAGGACAGTTCAAAAAGAAGAGAGCAATAAACTGAAGGAGGAAAAGGATCATTTAACTGAGGGTGAAGGAATAATAAGAAAATGGGATCAGATTATCTTTGTTGAGGTGAAAGTTAAACCTCAAAGGATTTCAACAGGTAGAGGTGTATGGGTAAAAGGGAAGACCATCTGAGACATAAGCGAAGACACAGAATTAGAGAAAGGAGGGGCAAGAAGTTAAAGAATCATTGTATAGTTGTCTAGCTGAAACACAGTACACAAAGGAAAGTACCATGACACAAAGCTGGAAAGGTAAGCTACAGCCACTTTATATGCCAGATGTATACATTTTATGCAATAGGCAATGGGAAACCACTGAAGAGTTTTAAACAAAGTTCACACCTGTGCATGAAATTAACAGTGTGAAGAATGGATTGGATGGGGAGAATATAGAGACAAAGAGATCAATTGGAAGATAATTACAATAATTCAAGCAATCAGTCAATCAGCAAGTATTAAGTGCCTACTAGGTGCAAGGCATGGTGTCAAGCAACGCGAATACAAGTAAAAAGGCAAGAAGTAATGATCTGAATTAGGACAGCAGCAAAAGGAGATTAATGTAAGAGTTATTTCCAAACTGAAAGCGATCAAGTTGGACATGATGATTGCTCACAGGTTAAAATTTGGATCAAATTAGAGAAAAATAAAAATGCGAGAAAAAGATACTGAGTAGTTTCACCCAGCCCTATTCAAATGAGTCTGATGCTTGGGGAAATAAGGAAAAATGAAAAAAGGCATTGTCTTTAATTGTGACTACTTCCTGCAAAATTTAACCAATGTTATTTAATCAATTACCATCAGCAAGAGGCAAATGAGTACACAAACCACCTTAAGCAGCCAACACTTGAGAGAAATGACAGTCAGAGGCAAATGTAACTTAGAAATATAAATTTATTTGTAGTGTTTTCACCACTGAGGATATGGCAAAAAATAACCATACTGCCTCATAAAATAGCAGGATAAAAGTGAAAGTGAAAACAAATCTACAAAAAGACTGGCATGAGACCCACACAAATCATCATAAGAATATTCATGGAAGAAACCGGCAAGAAGACAACAATCAAATGGAAAATGGAAAATGAATCCATCAGCATTTCTATAACCATCTATTTTCATTGTCAAGGACAATGGGAACCACACTATATTTGGATTCTAACACTTCAGTCCCTGATGTACTATACAAAGAAGTTGAAATGAGCCTTTAAAAATATGAATATACTGTGGTATACAGATGTAATAGAATACTATCGTGCAGCAAGAAGTGATGGATATCATTTTCTATTCTTTGTTACAAGGGATGGCACTCTGAAGGGGAAGGGAGGACATACTTGAAAATAAAGGAAAGATAAAAACAAAAGATATCAATAGTTTTTTTAAGACAAAATACTAAAGGAATTCAGAGAAACATGGAAAGATTTATATGAATGCAGAATGACATAAGCAGAATCAGGAGTACAATATACACAATGATTACAATAATGTAAATGAAAAGGGCGCTAAATGGAAGTTGAACTCAGCAACGACCAACTTTGATCACAGAGAACAGATTATGGAACATTCTTCCCTACTCTCAGCAGAAAGGTGGGGGCCAATGGGGCTGAATATTAAATATACTATCAGAAGCAATTGATGTATTGGGAGCCTTTACTAAACTTTTTCTTTGTTGCAAGGAGCACTGTTG